GTGTTCAACGATTATCTGCCTCGTGCTAAAGCTTTCGTTCCTCACACATACATATATATATATATATATATATATATATATATATATATAAAAGTCCTTAATTGGCCTTCTTCATGGACCAGCTGTGCTCTGATCTAGGAAGTCCATACCGTCAGCGAGTCCTATGGCTATTCTATTCGTTAGTAGGGATGCTATTCTGATCGATTCACTGCCGATTATAAATATATATATATATATATATATATATATATATACATATATATATATAATGATCCATCGATCGAAATTGAGATACCCAAAGATCGCGAGGTTACCGACCGGAGTTGTAATTTATTTATATAGGAATGGAGATTTATTGCTTTGGTAACTTGCTCTGTATTTATTAAGCTTTTTTTTTCCTTTTTCTGTATCATCATCATTAATACTGTCAGAAGCTACAATTAAAAAATGACTAAAATATTGAAGCTACAATTGATTGATGATACAGAAAAAGTATTAAAGCTACAACTGAATGATAACAACAAAAAATAAAATACAAGTGATAGATAGTATTAATTAGCGAAGCTCTAGTTGAATGATAACGAAAAGTATTGAAGCTACAATTAAATAATAACGAAAAGTATTGAAGCTACAATTGAATGACAACGAAAAGTATTAAAGCTACAATTAAATGATAACGGAAGGTATTGAAGCTACAATTGAATGACAACGAAAAGTATTGAAGCTACAATTAAATGATAACGGAAGGTATTGAAGCTACAATTGAATGACAACGAAAAGTATTGAAGCTACAATTAAATGACAACGAAAAGTATTGAAGCTACAATTAAATGATAACGAAAAGTATTGAAGCTACAATTAAATGATAACGAAAAGTATTGAAAATACAATTAAATAACAACGAAAAGTATTGAAGCTACAATTAAATGATAACGAAAAGTATTGAAGCTACAATTAAATGATAACGAAAAGTATTGAAAATACAATTAAATGGCATCAAATAATATTTGGAATATACAACTGATGGATAGAATTAATTAATGAAGATCCAGTTGAATGATAACAAAAAGTATTAAAGCTACAATTGAATACTACCAAAAAGTATTGAAGATGCAACTGCAATTGATCAATAATGAAGCTACAAATTAATTATGGTCAAAAGTATTAAAGCTACAATTACTGCATAGTAATAAAAAGTAATGAAGATACAAATTAATGATGGTTAAAAGTATTGAAGCCACAATTGAGATATAATAAAAAGTATAAAAGCTGCAAATTAATTATATTAAAAAGTATTGAAGCTACAATTATTACATTGTAATAAAAAGTATTGAAGATTCAAATCAATGATGACAAAAAGTATTGAAGCTAAAATTGACCGACAATTTTAATTTCTGAAGCTACAATTAAATTATTAAATATTGAAGCTACAATTGATTAGAAACACCAATTAATTTACACAAAAAAATATGTTCTATCAATTTTTACACATAAATATAAAAATAAAAAAGCACAATTCAATATTAAAAAACTAATGGACTTCAGATCATGGCATATAATAATTCAAACAATAGGTGGCTCTGATATGCATAATATAGAGAGAGAAAAAAAAAGAAGAAAAGCCTTTACAAGTAAGAGATCGTATAACGGAATTTTAAAATATAACGGAAGAGCGACGGGTGCGAAAAAGGCGTATCCCTCATGAGACTAAAGTAATGAAGAATTAATTACGCCCTTGGGCATATATAAGTATTATGAGATATATTCAAAGCATCATCGATAATCACACTACGATGCTGATGATGATCCATACGGAATATTTCACCTTCGCTACCTTTTTCATCTTCAAAAAAGGATATAGGTATGCGAATAAAGCTTGGGCATAAATTTTTAATAATGAAAAAAATGTCCCCTCTTCTTTTTTAATATATATATAAAATTTTTTCATATATATATATATATATATAGTTGTGTAATAAAACATTACATGATGATATTGGTGATTATTAAATGTATAAAAATACCTGAGTGGGTAAAAACGGTATATACGAATCAATATAAGAATTAATTTTTATGTATATAAAAAAACCGTTTTTTTATAACAATTAAAAATTTTCGTAACATAAAAAATATATAATAAAAAATAAAAATAATAAGAAATAAAAGAAAAAAGAAGAAATTAGAACAAGGGAAAAAAAAGAAACAAACTCTAAAGATTGAGAGAGACACATATACAAACATTGAAGAATGTAGAAGAAGAAGAAACAATTTATCGATGGCATACAAATTTATGCCCTCGTTTCGCTTAAACTACTACCAATGTTCATACATTTTCCTCTCTCTCATCGCCCATCCCTTTTTGGAAAATAAACATATTCTCACACATTTGCAAGCTATAGAGACCCCATTTTAGGAATTCAAATTACCCGCACCGCAAATGGTATATCTTCTTCCATTTTCAGACATTCACAAATACATTCACCCTCATTTGCAATCACTTTATTTTTATCATTATATTTTTTGTTTATTTATTTATTTACAATAACAGTTATACCAATATATGAGATTCATCTATAATATTTTTCTAAAACTACATTTAAAATTTTTTTTTTAAAAATAAATAAAAATAAATATATAAAATAAATTAAAATTTTTTTCTAAATTTTTGTTATATTAATCCTTGGTTTATAATAATTAATTAAAATTTCTGTTTAATCTATTTTTAGAAAAATATATATATTATTAGATAATTAATTATTTTTTAAAAATTTAATTTAAAAAAAATTAGTTTATGTATATTTAATAATTTTACAATTTTCTATATAGAAGAGGAAAAATTAATTGTGCATTTATATTTTATTATTTATAACGGAACAAAAGTTTTCAATTCAATTTATCACCCCGGAAAGAAAATACATATTTTCTGACTAATGAAGGAAGACTTGTTAGTGAGTTTAAGAAAGCGCGCGATGTGATTAAAAATGGCGATTATACGAGGAAAGGAGAGATAGAGAGAGAGAAAGAGAGAGAGAGAGAACAGGAGATAGATAGGTAAAGATAAGAATAATATCTGAGCTTGGAATCTAGAACGGATCTTGGAAGTTCTCAAGCCGACGCAAAACTACGTTGGAGAACATGTCAGACACGAGATTTAGAGACCGCGACGGCGGACAATGCACGACACCTGCGGCACACCTCAAGGAAAAAGAAAAACAGGGGAGAGAGGGGGGAGAAGAAGAGACAGACAGATAAAAACAAAGAGAAAGATGGGTCCATTCGTGTTACTGCAGCATCTCGCAGTCTTATACTTTTCATATATAGCCTTCGATTGGAGTTTTTTTTTTTTTTCAATCGCCAAAAAATTATTTTTGCTTAAACAATTATTAATTATTAATTTAATACATAAAAATAATAATAATAATAATAATAATAATAATAATAATAATAATAATACTTTATATAATAATAGAAATAACAAAAAAAAATAATAAAAATAGTATCCAATCAAGTGCAGAGCGCACTCGATTGGAGTTCAATTAGTTTATTATCATTGATATAATAAAAAATTTCTTTTAACTTGTGAGATTTTTTTACTAAAATAATTTTTGCATACAAAAAAAAAACAAATTTAATAAATAAAAAAATAATCGAATCGATGAAATTTCAATCGAGTGCAGAGCATTTATATATAAACATGTAGTTATTATATATACTATTTTTTTTTATAATTATATTAATATTATATTAATTATTATTTTGTATTAAATTATATGAATTATTTTAAATTAAATTAATAATTAGTATGCATTTAATTAATAATTACGGATTTTAATTTAATAATTATTAAATTAAATAATTAACATCAACTAATATTTTTATAAAATATAATTTATATTGTCCAAAAAAAAAAATCAACTCCAATCGAAAGCAGAGAGCATCACAGACAGTCAAAATTCATAAATACCAATAGGAATTTAAAAACAATTTATTATTTCATTCTCGAATTGAAACAAAGAATTAAAATTATTATAAAGGTAAATTTTACCTCCTTGTTGTTTTTTATCAAAAAAAAAAAAAAAAAAAAAAAAATTTAATCCCTAATCTAATCAAAAGAAAAAGGTTTATTAAAACCTTTGAATGGAATGCAATTGAAAAAAAAGAATATCGATCGTGCGTGTTTGGAACTAAGAGAAAGATAAACAGAGAGAAAGGAAGAGAAAAATTTCCGTGTGAATTAATTTCTTTAAAAGAAAAAAAAAAGAAAAGAAAAAGGACAGTTGTCATAAAGAAATCGATACATCGGGTGTCATGAGAACACACTACACCCCATACGGTTATCGAGGCGATTGGTAACTAACGGAAGAAAATCAATTATTCTACTGGTGGGCAACTGGCCCCCCTATACATTTTTTTTTTATTTATTTTATTTTTTCAATGAGCCACCGGTAGTTCAGGACCCCTGCTGATAAAAGCGTACAACTATATATATATATATATATATGTATATATAAAAGAATTCAAGTAACATATATCGCGAACTCGCGTATTTCATTCAATTATTAATTGGAAAAGCAATTATTTCTTATACTCGCGCCAGGATATAAATTCATAATCGCTCTTTTGAACTCAAGAGTAGATAAAAGAAACCAATTATAACGTGGTTGTGGTAGCTACCAATAAATGCGTGTACTTAACCTCTATAACACTTATAGCGAGAAATTCTCATAAAATTTTAATTTCATCTCAATTTTTCATATTATTGAATGTATATTATTAATAAATGCTATATTAATTTTAATGTAAAATATAAATTAAACATAATTGAAATTTATTTTTATATTATTTTTTTTATTTATTTAATTAATTATTATTATTATTAAAATAGTCAAATTTGTTTAAATTTAATAAGACAAAAAGATTTGAATTTAATACATCTCAATTAAATATATATATATATATATATACCAAAAATGAAAAAACTAATCACTCAAATCCGATAGTGTATCATCACTGTCGTCACTGAATCGTGGTTCACGAATTTTAAAAATAAGCTGAGGTGGTTTTAAATTCGTCAAATAATAAATACCAGTAGGTGTTTTCTTAATTTTTTTCATTGCCATTCCTGCTTTAAGCACTTCAATAATCAAGAATTTTGCCTTGTCTTCTGTAATCCGCGAATGATCCATCACATAACGTACAATGTCTGGAAATGTTGCACCCTCGTTTCTATGTTCTGGTATTCTCTTTTGTGACGCCATTATTATGACAAATCTGATATGTAATGAAAACAAAATATGCAATATAATTCAGAAACTCTGTATCAAGAATATATATATATATATATATATATATATATATATATATATATATATATATATATATATATATATATATATATATATATATATATATATATATATATATATATATATATATATATATTCATATATACATGTGATGTGATGTCTGATGAGCGAATAATGATCACGCAGAATGATTAATTACATCACGAATGCAACGAATCACTCTCGACAAAATGAAAATGCAATCTGCTCCTCAGAATAAGTTGTATATATGTATATCTATCATTTTATATTGCACGGAATACAATTTATTATTGCTTTACTTGCCAGATGACACTATTTAATTAATCGAGAGTGACGAAAAACATAATTATTCTACTCATTATTATATTATGTACATTTATATAAAAAAAATATATATTTGTTTAACACCTGTAAGAAAAACTCCGCCTTATATTAAAATAAATGCAGCAGAAAGTTAATGATTTTTGCACAGTATAAAAAAGTATACTTTTCTGCACTGTAATTGTAATTTTTCCTGCACTGATTTTGAAACTGTTATGCACTACTTTATAACCACTGAATACTGTACGAAGAAGCATACTTTTCTGCACTGTTTTGTAATTTTCCAGTAAACAGTGCAATAAAGTATACTTTTCTGTACTGTTCTTATAAATGTTCTATAGTGATTTCTAACTATACCATACAGAAAAGCTTACTTTTCTGCACTGTTTTTATAATTTTTCTACCTACTGTGAAGAAAAGTATACTTTTTGAAACTGTTTTTACAACTTTTTTGCACTAATTTCTAACTTTACTGTATACAATACGAAAAAGTATACTTTTCTGCACTACTTTTATAACTATTTGGCACTAAATTATAATTTTATTGTATACTACACTGAAAAGAATACTTATCTGCACTCTTTTATACCTTTCTGTATGCAGTGCAACAAAGTATACATTTTTGTACTCTTTTTATAATTTTTCTGTACTGATTTCTAATTCTACTGTATGCTTTACAGAAAAGGAGACTTTTCTGCACTGTTTTAAAAATTTTTCAGCATACTGTGTGGAAAAGTATACTTTTCTAAACTGTTTTTAAAACTTTTCAGTAAGCTATTAAGAAAAAGATACTTTTCTGCACTGTTTCCAAAACGTTTATGCCTACTGTACAGAAAAGTATACTTTTCTGCACTGTGTCATAACGTTTGCTGTATACTTTGCAGAAAAATATACTTTCCTGCACAGTTTACTATACAGCATAGGTAATTAAACATACAGCATACAATTTAAGCTTTAAAATTAAAAAACATAACCTAAAATTCAATACTTTAAAAATTGTATAAAATGCCGTGTTTTTTATACAGGTGTTACAATTACAATTATAATAATTTTCTACTACAACTTTACCACACTTTGTTTTACCAGTTTTTCCCCACTAAATATCAAATTTAAAAAATATATTTTTATATCATAATAAATTAATTTATTTATTTCTAAGAAACTCTAACTCATGCTTGTTAATATTACTGATTTACAATTTAATTCATCGAAAAGTGTGACGACCCTCGTCACTCACAAATGCCACTGCAAATGACGATTAATTTTCTATGCCAATAAATTTTATAACCCCATGCGGCTGTCATTTTATACATATATGCAAACCAAAGAAGATTGGAACGAAATCTCGAATGAAGAGGATTAAGGAAATTTTCATCGATGATTTCTTTCAATGTTTTGCTGGACAAAAATTGCATAGAAGAATAAAGAAAAAAAGTGCAAGTATATAAGAAATCGAAAAAAAACATCAAGTGGCTTTCTAGTTATAATCGAAAAGGTAGCCTAATTGGATTACACACACTAATTCACAGGAATGCATATATATATACAAATATATATATATATATATATATATGTACACGACATATACGATAATGAAGCAGTAAGGGGACCGAAAAAGGAGAGAAGATGCACATATTGCTTTATGGGTCGTATATTAATCCTATAATTGAGATATGATGGTCATTCCAAAGAAAAGACGCGCGCACGCAACTTCTTTGGAGCGCAAGAAATTGACCATTATAACCGTTCCAAGGAGAGATGAGGATGAATTCATCCAGAGAGAGAGAGAGAGAGTTGTCAAAAAAAGGATGAAAAAAAGAAAAGAAAACGAAAAGAAAAAAAAATAAATTTCTTGTAACATAGTAGTTTTTGTCTTTGGTCTTAATGATTCTCTGTATACTATGCAGAAAAGTGTACTTTTCTGCACTGTTTTTGTTGCTTTTATATTTACAGTGCAGAAAAGTATATCTTTCTACACTGTTTTCTATAACTTTTCTGTTTACTGTGCAGAAAAGTATATTTTTCTTAACTGTTTTTACATACTATACAAGAAAAGGATACTTTTCTACACTGTTTTTTATAATTTTTCTACCTACTGTGAAGAAAAGTATACTTTTCCAAACTGTTTTTACAATTTTTCTGCACTGATTTCTAACTTTACTGTACACTATATAGAAAAGTATACTTGTCTGCATTGTTTTACAACTTTATTGTACACTATACAGAAAATGATACTTTTCTGCAGTAATTTCTATCTTTACAAATTTTGAAAATAGAAATAAACAAAATTCATCTGAATTGAAAATTAACTTCCACTTCTTTTATCAATAAATAAAAATTTGTTCTCATTTTCTTTTTTGTGGGAAAAAATTGAAGCGTCAAAGCTACTATTAAATGAGTGTCATTAAAATAACAGAGTTTGACAAAAAAAAAGTGGCACGCAAGGCATTTATTTACAAAAAAAAAAAAGTGGGAGTTAAAAACTTCGCCTCGGGTATACATCGTTCTTTTGAGGCACATTGAATATTGGATTGCAATGATTTAAACATTGTACTGAGAACTGAGAACTTGCCAAGAGTATTATAATAAAGGGGATCCGGTTGGTTTTGGTCGTCGCGCGCTTTAAGGGAAACGAGTGAGAGAGAAAGAAACAAACCGCATGGAGACAAAGAAAAAAAAAGAAAAAAGAGTAGAGAGAAGAGCTTGACCACGAGATACGCGGTTTGAAAATATAACGTCTCTATTCTCGCTCTTTGCGAAGCCCCCCCCCCCTACATTCTCGAGCTCGTTCCGAACGATAATTACACGTTATACCGTCAGTCCACTGGGCGCCCCTTCAATTAAGCTAGAGAGAATCACCTGCTTCGACACCACGAACAGGAAAAACACGTTGCTCGCTTTTACTTCTTATCCAACACGCACCCGTCACGTCATTCCACTCATATTCTAATTTTCTCTATATACGTGTATAATACAGTGCAAACAAGAATTCTAAAGTGCCTCTGAGTCAATGTTCGCATATTATTCTATTTTTTTCCTCATTTTTATTTAGATTTCTATGGAATTTTTATTTAACCAAAGTTTTTACAATTGTAATAATTTATTTGATGTTATTTTTATTTATCATATTATTATTTAGCAGAATTTTTATTTAACCAAATTAAAAATTCATCAAATTTAACTAAATTCCACTTTACAGAATTACCATTTAGCCAACTTCCACTTTACAGAATTTTTATTTAACTTCCCAATATGTACCGCAAATAATTATTTATCAGAATTTTTGGATATCAATAGAATTTACATTTAGCCGAATTCATTAATGGAATAATTACCGAATCTTTAAATGCACCAAACTTCAATTTGACCGAATTATAATTTAACCAAAATTGTCATTTGGCTGAATTTTCATTTTTCATTTAGCAAAATTTTCAATTCAAAGAATTTACATTTAGCTGAATTTGTTAATAGAATAATTATTCAATTTTTAGTTGCACTAAACTTTCATTTGACCGAAATTGTCATTTAGCCGAATTTTCGAATTTAAAATTTCATTTAGCCAAAAAAAAATCAATTCAAAAAATTATTAAAATTCGAAATTTCTTTTAATTTACTAATAATTTTCATTTTATAAACATTAAAAGGACAATAATATTTAAATGTAACAATAAAAGGTGAAAATCGTGCGAAATAAAATTATAAAAAACATTTTAATTGCCTTGCAAAAATATATATATGTGTTTGTAACATGTTAATTAAGAAATTTACAACTCGAGCACGTTATATGCAAAAAAAAAAAGGTTTACGTTTTTTTTTTCTTTTAATTTTCTCATATCAAACTATAACATTTAGCTTGAATAAACCCGTTACGAGTGTGAAACAGCTCAATTCCAACGTAAAACTCACTTTTTAAAACATTCATAAAATTCATGCGGCTTTGCTTTGATCTGAATATTAAAACACATTTTCTAGTGTATTTATATGAACTGCTCAAATTCCATGTTTCGTGCTTATTTTTTTTAGCACTACATTACACGACACTATGAGATAAATCTAAAAATACAATGCCACATTGCAAGCAATAAAAATGTTCGTTATTTCTAAATTTTTATACAATTTTTACAAAGAAATTTTTTTTTTTAATTAATGAAATTACAATTTTGCAGAATTGATATTTAACAGAATTTAAATATAATTTTTATTTAACTGAATTTTGGCTAAATAAAATTTTTAAAAAAAATATCAAAGTAAATAAAAATTATGCTAAATAAAAATTAAACTAAATGGAAATTAAGCTAAATAAAAATTAAACTAAATAAAAATTTAACTAAATGGAAATTAAGCTAAATAAAAATTAAACTAAATGGAAATTAAGCTAAATAAAAATTAAACTTAATAAAAATTCTATTATCTATTCAGTTAAATACAAGTTTTGTTAAATTAAAATTCTTTTAATATCTAAAAAATTAAAATTTTCTTTAATAAAAATTACTTTGTAAATTAAAACTAATTTAAATAGAAATTCAATTATATAACTGAATGACTTTTTGAAAATTCTATTTAATTTTTTTTTTCAATATTTGGGAGGGAAAAAAATTTGAAAAAAAAATTTTGAGACTTCCG